TTTGCTGCTTTGGCGGCAATCCTTCCTTTGGGAAGGAAGGTGGTGTTGGAGACTGTGGCCCAGGAACCCAGGTGCAGGGGAGAGGGTGGGATTGACCAGGAACATGCCGAGCCTAGTGGAGGAGCCAGTAAACCAACCAGAGGTCAGGTGGGATCACTCGGCAGCCCCCTGCACAGAGGAGGATCTGCTTAAATGTTGGGTGGAGGGACAGGGACCCACACGAGAGACAGCCTGCAGTGGACTGACGTGACCTGGAAGACAGCATCCTGGCCAGGAAGCAGCATCCACAGGGCCCAGCACCCCGAGAGAGGAGAAGTGAGCAGACAGCAGCGAGGGATGGGGAGAGCAGTGGAAGCCCCCACCGGAGGTGGGCAGGGAGGCGGCAGGACAAAAGGAAGAAGCAGGGAGGACAGTGGCTTGGGGGGTCATCAGTGTCGGGGACGGACTTAGGATGGGAGGCCAGAGCATGAGTGTAGGTGGAAGCCAAGGGGAGAAAGAAGGCCCCAGGGAAGGGATGGAGGGGGTGGGTGGCAGGGTGAGGATGGAGGGTCAACAGAGGTGGAGTCAGGACCAGACTGCCCATCACCACCTTTTCAGAAGGTCAAGTCTTAACATGGAATGAAGCCCACAGTGGTTTTCCTTTGGGGGGTTTTGCTGAAGTTCATCTGGTGGCTGGGTGAGGGCTCAGAGGGTTGGGAGGGGGCAGTTCTGGATTTGGATTCAGTGGCTCCCAGGAAGGGGTTGTTCTCCCCCTCCCCAACCCAGTCCCCGTCGGCACACAGAGAGAAGGGTCCTACAGCCCCTGTTTGGAGGGCACCCACCTCACTGGAGGGCAAGTGCCCACTTAGCCATAAGGCTGCTGGGGACAGGTGGGCAGGACAGGTGTCCCTCCCTCCTTCCTTCCGTCTTCCCTGCTGGCCTTGGTGCTGGGCACTTATCTTTGCGCTCCCTTTTCAGAGGACATTGGCAGCTAGGAGAGAGGAAGTATCCAAGACAACAAAGCTGCTTAGCAGGCCAGAGCCCCTGGTTCTCCTGCATCTGTGTCCTAGCAGTTTGGGGCAGTCCTCTCAACAAAGTTGAGGCCTCAAGTTGGCTGCTGGGGGTGCGGAGATGGGGGGGTCGGTCAGGACAGATTCCCTGTTGCCGTCGCCCCACCCAAGTGAAGGAAGGCACAGGTGCCCCGTCCCTTCCAGTGAGAATATCACACACGCCTTGAGAACTGCAACCCCCAGGGGCCCATTCCCTCTTGGAACCAAAACCAGGGAACAAGGAGGCAGGCACCAACAGAGAAGGAAACGGGAAGTCTGTGGCCGAGGAAACCTGGAGCCCACGGTCTGCCCCCATCCTGTGCTGCCCCCAGCAAGCAAGTGTACACTCCCAGGAAGTCTGGGTGGTTCTCCAAGCCTCCCAGAACCCCAAGCCAAGGCCCTGCTGGTGGGAGAGGGTCAAAGCCAGGCAGAATGGGGAGGATGTCCCCAGCCCATCGCCTAGGGGCTGGAGCCAGATTCATTGCTCCTGGGCATGCTCCTTCTGCTCTGCCCCGTGCCTGCCTATGCCCCTCGCCAAGGGAAGATGCTTCCCAAGTGGAGGAAGTGGGCAGATTTTAGCTAGCATGATGGATGCACATGTCAGAACGTCAGATTTTTATCTCAGTAGTTCTTAACTTTAATGCATATTAGAAAAAGATAAAAACTGGGGTGCGTGGGTGGCTCAGTCAGTTAAGTGTCCGACTCCTGATTTCGGCTCAGGTCATGATCTCAGGGTCGTGAGATGGAGCCCTGCATCGGGCTGAGAGCTCAGAGCGGAGTCTATTTGAGATTCTCTCACTCTCTCTCTCCCTCTGCCTCTCCCATTGCTCGAGCGCCCGCACATGCACTCTGTCTCTCCATTTCTAAAATAAATAACCGATCAAATATCCTTTTGCATATATTATTGTTAGTGAAACTACACTTCCTTTCTCTTAAAATAAGTTTAAGTAGATGCAAGTTGAAAGAAAAACATGAAGTCAGTTGTGCACAGGTGGGTATCCAAAGCCAGCCGAATTTCAGCATCATTTTTTGAGCCCCTGCTTTGCACCCTGCAGCATTCTGCAGATTCAGCGGTGAACAAAAGTCATGCCTGTGGCAGGCATGGGAGTGGCTGAGACACAGGAGGTGCTGCCGTGGGGCCCCCTTTCCTGTTTGCAGGGGAGTGGAGCGGGATCACAGATTCTTTGCTATTCCAGAAAACTGGCCTCTACCTTTCTCGGGCTTACTGAGAGGGCAATCTGTTTCCTGTCCAGGAAGCAGGAGAGGAGGAACCCTAGCAGGACACGGACAGGGGCACCCCTCGCTACTGCCTTGAACGTCGCCGGCGTTTCCTGGCTCAAATGCAACAGAAGGTTCTTTCCTGCCCATCTGATAGTCTAGGGCAGGTGCTCTGGGTGGGTGGCTCTCCTCCACACGGTGATTCATGGGCCAGTTCCTTCCATCTTATGGCACCACCACCGCCCAGGACTCTGTCATCACATGCATTCAGGGGACACACTTATATCTTAGGAGCCTTGCCCACAAGCGGCGCACTTCACATTCATACTCCATCAGTTCCAGCTCAGTTCCAAGGCCGGTGGTGGCCTGCGGAAGGGTCTCTAAGCCAGAGGCCACGAGAGGGCTGAAACTAAGCCTGCCTTCCCCTTGCCAGGTTGTGTAGCCCGGAGGAAAGACTCCTTTTTCCTAACCCCAACAAAGATGCTGTGGGGCTGGCTTCTCCCTGGCTGGGACCAGGGCAGAGGACGTGGGAAAGGAGAGAGGAGACAGAAGGACAGAGTAAAGCAAGAACGGCCTTGGAGGGGAGAGGAACCTGAGCCCAGGGGATACCAGGTGGCTTCCCTTGTGGTCCTGCAGTTTCAGACAGTGAGGGCTGGCCTGAGCCCCTGCACACCTTGCCCTACCTCTCTCCTCAGTGAGCCCCGTGCAGCAGATTTGAGCCTCAGGCACTGAGGCCCCTGAGCACCCTCCCATGCCCAGGTCTGTGCAGCTAGGGCCTTGTCCTTACCCCATGCCCTTGATCACCCAGGGTCGATGTCAGGGAGATGAGGAAGGGGGGGTCTAAGTGGGGAGGGGAGGCATGCACCCTGGTCCCGGGCCTTGGAGAGAGCCGCTGAGATGGTTGCACCCAGGCCGGAGCAGCTCCCATCCCCCTGGCCTGAGCTGCCTGCAGACCCCAGGGGCTGCAGCTCTCCATCCTCCGCCCACTGCTGACCTCACGTGAGAGACGGGCCCCCAGAGGCTTCACCCAATTCCCAGCCTCCCCCTGCCCTGTGTTCCTGTCTCATGGCCAGGCACTGGGGGCCAGCGGAGCCGGCATCCAGCCTGGTCCCTCCATGCCTTCTGCCTCCTGTCGCCCCCAGGGCGGCCCACTGGCACTCTGCCTGGCCCAGCTGGGGTACAGCCACGGCTGCCACTCTGCCTCGCCAGTGTTTTGGTTGACAAGACTATTTGTCACCCTTGTTTTTTCACAGCTGTCGCCATCCCACCTGCCTCGTGTGTAAACAGCACCAGCATCAACACACTAACACTGGGTCCCCAGAGCGGGCACCAGCTGGGAGCACCACCCCCTTAGCCACAGGGCTCAGGGAAGCCAGGGACGGCAGGCGGAGAGTGTCCTGGGTACCAGCTTTCCCAGACCCCGCCCTCAAGGAGAAACTGGAAGACCAGGGCTCTGGCCTGGCGCCGCCCCCAGGCTTGCTGGGTGACCTTGGACAAGGTCCCACCTGCTTTACACAGGCCTCGGTTTTCCCCTCAGAGCATGAGGTGGGAAGCAGTGCTGTGTGAGCTCTGGGGCCAGACGGCTGGCGTTAAAATCCCCGCTGGACCCCCTACTAGCTGAGTGACCTTGGGCCAGCCTCACAAGCCATCCGACCTCTGGTTTCTCTCTTCATAAAAGGGTGAAATGGTAATACTTACGAACATTCATGAACTAAAGTCCACAGGAAGTACTCGCTAAATACAGGCTCCTCTGACTCTGTCTTAGGGCCCCTCCTTGGCAGCCAGAGTTCTGAACAGGCGTGTCCATGCGTTGTCTCTGTGTGGGGGTCTGTGTTCCCAGCTCCAAGGCTCACAGTGGCCACAGTAGGAGCCTGGACTTGCCGATCCTCTGGACCCGGTTGGTTTGGCCTGCCCTGGGCCCTCACCCCAGAGGCTCCTCCTGAACCCCAACCCTGGCAGCCTTCCACCGGCAAAAACTTGCAATTCTCAGTTTTCTAACCGACGGATGTTGGCTGTGGCTCTGTGTCCCACCTCTCAGCCCATGAGGGGTGTGAGTCAGCCACACTTCAGCAGGGGGAGCCCTCATCAGCTGGCCCTTACCTGTCTGGAGGGGAGGGTGGGTCTTGAGAGACGATCTGCCCGCCTCCCCCCCCAGGGGGAGGTACATGCTACCGTTCTGTGCAATGAGACGGCTTGAGCGCGGAGAGGAGATGGTGAACAGAGTCACCACATTGACTAACATGGCTTCACCACGTCGGAAAGTGATTCCTTCCTCTCTGTCAGCCTCAGAAGCTCAAGAAGAAAGTCTCAGGCTGGTGCTAGTTATCTCCTTAACACCTGTGAATTCTCCCCCTTGTTAACAAAGAGAAAACGGCTTTAGGCCGAAAGCCTTCAGCAGGCAGCAGGATCCTGCTAGAATTTAACATGTCTGTTTTCATTGTCATTATTCTTATGTGTATCTTCCATTTAGAATACTTCACGCAGGTTTTCCATTTACTGTAAGGATGTGAAGTTTATAAAGTACAAAGATGTGTCTAAGAAAATTAATAACTGGTAGTCATCAGGTGAAACAGGACTTTTGTTGAAGTTATAAAGATGCTAGGGGAGAATGTTTGAGAAAGAATGAGCTGGTCTAGTGGTTCTCAAACTTTGTGGTTTGGGGACCCGTTTAAACTCTTAAAAAATTATTGAGGACCCCAATTTTGTTTATGTATGTTGCAGCTATCAATTTTTATTGCATTAGAAATTAAAACCAAGAGTGCTCGCTTCAGCACTAAAATTGGAACAATACAGAGAAGATTAGTATGCCCCCGGCACGAAGATGACACACAAATTTATGAAGCATTCCATATTTTATTTTCTGCTTCTATCTCATTTTTTTTTCCCCTTTGGTGGGGGGTGTTCCTAGAACAGTGCCTGGCACATAATAGGTGCTCAATAAATATTTGTTGTTTGCTGAAAAAAAAAAGAGAAATTAAAACCAAGAAAATTTTTAAATCTTCATTCATTTAAAAATAACGATGATAAACCAATTACACATTAGTATAAATAACATTTTCTGATTACTAAAAATGTTTCGGTAAGAAGAACGTCATTGTTGTACATTTTTGCAAATCTCTTTAATGGCTGGCTTAATAGAAGACAGTTTGGTTCTCATATGTGCTTCTGCATTCAATCTGTCGTGATGTGTTGTTTTGGTTGAAGAAGAGGACTAAAATTTGTCCCCACATAAACACATAGTTGGAAAAGGAAGGAATGTTTTACTAGCCTTTTCAGATAATTCTTCTGTGAAACTCACCCAAACTGGACAAGTGGTGGTGGTTTCTTAAAGGATGGTTGCAATCTGAAACTATATCAGTGACCCTTTCCTGTGCTGTTACATTAAAATCCATCAGTCTCTCCAACAAATGGTGCTGGAACAACCGGGATATCACATGCAAAAAAAAAAAAAATCTAGTTACAGGCTTTCCACTTTTCACAAAAATTAACTTGAAATGGATCACAGATAGATCTAAATGTAAAAAGCAAAACTATAAAACTCCTCAAAGGGAATATAGGAGGAAATCAAGATGACCTTGGGTCTGACAATGACTTTTAGATACAACACCAAAGTCACGATCCATGAAAGAAGTAGTTAAACTGCTCTTCATAGAAATTTAAAACTGCTCTGTGAAGGCCACCGCCAAGAGAAGAAGAAGAAAAGCCATGGGCCGGGACAAAATATTTGCTAAAAGCATGTTTAATAGAAGACTGGTGTCCAAGATATACAAAGAACTCTTAAAACTCAACAATAAGAAAACAACCCAACTTGAAAATGGGCCAAAGATCCTAACAGACACATCACGGAAGAAGATGTACAGATGGCAAAAAGCATATGGAATGATGCTCCACATCATATGTCATCAGGGAAATGCAAATTAAAACAACAAGCTACCACTACACACCTAGTAGAATGGCCGAAATCCGGAACACTGGCAACTCCAAGTACTGACAAGGATGTGGAGCAACAGGACTCTCACTCATTGCTGGCGAAAAGGCAAAATGGCGCCATACTTGGGAAGACAGTTTGGCAGTTTCTTACAAAATGAAACATACTCCTACCACAGGATCCAGCTTTCAGGCTCTTCCATATTGACTCAAAAGATGTGAAAACTTTTGTCCCCACAAAAACCTACACACAGGTGTTCATAGCAACTTTATTCATAATTGCCAAAACTTGGAAGCAACCAAGATATCCTTCAGTCGGTGAGTGGATAAGTAAACTGGTCCATGCACACAATGGAATACTCTTCCACACTAAAAGGAAATGAGCTATCAAGCAATGAGAAGACATGGAAGAAACTTGAATGCATATTACTAGGTGAAAGAAGCCAATCTGAAAAGGCTGCATACTGTATAATTCCAACTGTGTGAATTTCTGGAAAAGGCAAAACAATGGGGACAGTAAAAAGATCAGAGTGGTTGCCATGGGTGGGGTGAGGGGAAGGGATGAATAGGCAGAACATGGAGGATTTTTAGGGCAGTGGAAATACTCTGCACGATACCATAATTCTGGATACATGGCATTATAAATTTGTCCAAATCCATAGAATGTACGACACCAAGACTGAACCCTGAGGTTAACTATAGACTTTGGGTGATTATGATGTGTTCATGTAGGGTCATCCTTGGCAACAAATGGACCACTCTGGTGAGGGATGTGGATAGTGGAGGAGGCTGTCCACGGATGCAGGCAGGGGTTATATGGGAAATTTCTACCTTCCTCTTGATTTTGTTGTAAACCCAAAACTGCTCTTAAAAAAATAAAGTCTCTTGAAAACATCCATTGATCTACTTTGCTCTTTGAATGGGTGTCTTAACCATGCATGATTTTTAACACCATTTTGGTCATTTGGAAAATATTAGTTCAGAGTTACACGGATCTTCCAAATGTTGACACGTTTCAGCATACAGTATTAAAAACTCACATTTGATAACTTTGATACTGATCTCATCAGAAGAGTCTTTAGGTAATGGGAAGCTGTCAAGTTCATGGTGGTAAACACAAGTTTCCAAAATTCTTTCACTTGAAAGCTGGAATTTTTTTTAATTTTGGTGATAGATATGTTCGTTGTTTTCCTTGAAATGATGGGCTCGCTTGGTTCGTTTTTAGAAAATGTCTTCCAGAGACCAAATCCGAATTACCCTTGTCTCTCTGTCTGGCATTCTTTTAAGTAAAAGTGGTGTCCCATGAATAAAGGGACTATTTTCGCTGGCAGCTCAGTCTTACAAGTGCCTTTCCTCCAGAAAACCATCATCCTTCGGTTTGCAGAAGTGTTTTATGCATACTTCCCATTTCATCGCACAGGATATGAAAAAAAATGGGTACTCGGGGTAGAGATTGTTTTTTAATTTGTGGTTTTTACTACTTCATCAAGGGCATTCTTAAGTAAAAGTGGCATCTTCTGTGACCCACCGTGTGAGTGCAGTCTGGTGGTCCTGTTTCTCCCCTGTTAGCTCAGGGGCTAGCTTTTCACCTCCTATGGCTTTTGCACCAGCAGTACAAGCAGGTAACACTGTTAGAAAGGGAAAAAATAGCATCTTAGTATTGTCCTGAACACAGTTTTGATCTTGTGGACCCCCTGCAAGGACCTCAGAGACTCCCAGGGGTGCAGACCACACTTTGAGAACCACAGGTGTAACCAATCCCTTCCTCGTGCGTTTGGGGACCCTCGGACCCTGAGGGAAGCTGAGGCTTGCCCAGGGTCCCAGAGCCAGTTGGAGGCAGGGCCAAGTCTTCTGACACCTGACGCACTGCTCCGGGCCATGTCCCTGAGATCCTGGAAGCAGGGTGACAGGCTCCTTTTTGAACCAAGGCAGTATCTGATCAAGCTAATGCTGAATGGATGCTTCCAGTGAGGGGACAAGGAGACAGGAAGGGGGGGCGCCTGGGTGGCTCAGTTGGTTAAGCGACTGCTTTCGGCTCAGGTCATGATCCTGGAGTCCCTGGATCGAGTCCCGCGTCGGGCTCCCTGCTCAGCGGGGAGCCTGCTTCTCCCTCTGACCCTCCCCCCTCTCATGTGCTCTCTCTCTCTCATTCTCTCTGTCTCAAATAAATAAATAAAAAATAAAATAAAATAAAATCTAAAAAAAAGGAGACAGGAAGGGGTATCAATGAATAAGCCTGGGGAGGGGCACCAGTCAGCCAAACCTGTCCTCTTCCACATTTACCTGCCTTCCCCTAACCCCTGCCATGTGTGTGGTGGTCCGACTTCCATCTTCCCTCTTCCATAATTTTGTTGCTAATATCTCCCAGCCGAGGCGGCTCTAATTAAACTATTCACCATCGTCACTTCATGTTCTGAAGAGACAAGGTTGGCCATTATCACTTTTCTTTCCCTTTGACTGAGCTCTGTGTGGGTAATTTTATTCTGCCCTTGTTCGTTTCTTAGAAATTTAGCCTCTCCAATTTTAGTTCTTTTCTCCTATCTTAGAACATTGTGCTCAGGAGAAAGGCGGCAGAGGGCGAGGGTATCACAGATTTGGAAATTTCTGTCCCGTTCACCTTAAAGTTTATTTTTGACTGAACAGTGCCTGCGTGGTGGTTCAGCTGTCCCCCGCACCCCTGTCTAGGAGAGACACCCAGGAGGTAAAGACTGGCAGGTTCTGGACCCGCCCAGGGGAGAAAGGCACCAAGAGAAAGTGGTTGACATGTCAGGCTGTCCCAAATTGGGTGATGGTGGGAGCTTTGGACAAGATGAGTCTCCACTTCATCCCTGGGGATCTGAGGTGATCAGAAGCCTTGGTGATGTAAACATACCATTGCGCCCCCCACCCCGCCGCCACCGAGGGCCCCGGCAAGCCTCCATCCTGCATCCCCCTGTCTCTGCCAGTCACCTGCATGGCCCACCCGTCTGTGTGCTGGCAGGCCTCTCCACAGGCCCTCACTCCATTCGGCACCAGCCTCAGCACCTCCCCCCTCGGAAGCTGTGGACTGACTACTGCCATTCACCCTCCAGTCTCCCTCCGCAGCCTCGCACTGGACGCCCTGCCAGGGTGGCCTTAGGAGACAGACGAAACGAAGCCGGGAGGTGGGGATGGGCACTGAGAGCCCAGCGCACAAATGCGGGCGCTCCCTGGGGAGGGCTGGGAGCGGGGGAGGCAGAGGGAGAGAGAGTGTCCCAGGCCCCACGCTCAGGGAGCATCAGCGTTTGCTCTGTGGGACTCTGACTATCAGAGCTGTCCCACCGTGAGACCAAGGCTGCCTTCAGCCCTCTCCGTGGAGGTGCACACGTTCACACTCAGCAGCCCGGGACCAAAGCCCCACCAAGATGCAGTCTGTGTGGGAGCCCCTTGGGCCACCTGTGCAGGCAAGGTAGCTATTCCTAGTTTTGTTTTGTTTTTTTAAAGATTTTATTTATTTATTTGGCAGAGACACAGTGAGAGAGGGAACACAAGCAGGGGGAGTGGGAGAGGGAGAAGCAGGCCTCCCGCGGAGCAGGGAGCCCGATGCGGGGCTCGATCCCAGGACCCTGGGATCATGACCTGAGCCGAAGGCAGACGCTTAACGACTGAGCCACCCAGGCGCCCCGCTATTCCTAGTTTAATGACTAAGGATCACATGGACCTCCAAGCCCCACCATTGTCCTCAGGCCCTGCCGATGGCCGGAGGGGCACCTGATGCTCTCGAGGACCCTTCCATTAGGGTCTCTGCCCTTCCCCCCTTTAATTCCCCCCTCAGGGAAGACCTGTCTCTGGACCGTGCCCTGCTTTCTGGGCATGGCTGACCCCTGACTGCCCGTCGCCTGGACACACCTCTGTCACATCCCCCCCACCTACACCAGTTTCTCCACCACGCCCAGCGCTCACTCAGTTTC